GTCTGTCGCCAATTTCTATCGCGATGGCAAGTGCTCTCTCCATATATTCTTTAGCCTTCGAGTGTTCGCCTAGGAAATTAAACACCTCTCCGAAGCTTTGGTATGTTATTCTTTGTAATTTTCTGTCGCCAACTTCTATCGCGATGGGAAGTGCTTTCTGGTTATATTCTTGAACTTTCGGATATTCGCCGAGGGAATTAAACACAGCTCTGAGATTTCCGTATATTCTTCCTTCTCCCTTTCTGTCGCCAAGTTCTTTCGCAATGGCAAGTGATTTCTGGCTATATTCTTTAGCTTTCTGATATTCGCCAAGGTAAAAAAACACAATTCCTAAGTTTCCGTATGTTGTTCCTTCTAATTTTCTGTGGCCAATTTCTATCGCGATGGCAAGTGCTTTCTCATGATATTCTTCAGCCTTCTGATATTCGCCAAGGGAACCAAACAGATCTCCGAGGTTCCCGTGTCTTGCTGCCTCTTCCTTTCTGTCGCCAATTTCTATCGCAATGGCAAGTGCTTTCTGATTATATTCTTTAGCCTTCTGATATTCGCTAAGGGAACCAAACAGATCTCCGAGACTCTCGTATCCTGCTGCCTCTCCCTTTCTGTCGCCACTTTCTATCGCAGTGGTAAGTGCTTTCTCGTAATATTCTTTGGCCTTCTGATACTTGTGGACGGAATTAAACACTTTTCCGAGTTCCCCATATACTCTTCCTTCTCCCTGTCTGTCGCCAATTTCTATCACGATGGCAAGTGCTTTCTCTAGATGTTCTTTAGCCTTCTGATATTCGCCGAGGGAATTAAACACTGCTCCTAGGTTTCCGTATGCTCTTCCTTCCTTTTCTCTGTCGCCAATTTCTAACGCGATGACAAGTGCTTTCTCTCGATATTCTTTAGCCTTCTGATATTCGCCAAAGGAATGAAACACATATCCGAGGTTTCCGTATGTTGCTTCTTCTAATATTCTGTCGCCAATTTCTATCGCAATGGCAAGTGCTTTCTCTAGATATTCTTTAGCCTTTTGATATTCGTGGACGGAGGTAAACACTTCTCCGAGTTTCCTACATATCAGTCCTTCACTCTGTCTGTCGGTAATTTCTATCGCGATGGCAAGTGCTTTCTCTAGATATTCTTTAGCCTTTTGATATTTGCCGAGGGATTTAAACACAACCCCTAGAACTGTGTATGCTGTTCCTTCTTTTTCTCTGTCGCCAATTTCTATTGTGAATGCAAGAGCTTTCTCTAGATATTCTTTAGCCTTCCGATATTCGCCGAGGGAATGAAACAAAGCTCCGAGTTTTCCGTATGTTCTACCTTCTACTTTTCTGTCGCCAATTTCTATCGCTATGGCAAGTGCTTTCTCGAGGTGTTTAATAGCCTTTTTTATTTCGTAAAGACGAGTAAAGACACTTCCAAGTCTTTCATGAACCAGTGCTTGTGCTATTTTGGGGCCAAACGTTTTTGTGATGGTGAGTGTGCCTTTAAAAAGTTGCTTTGCCTCAAAAAACCGTCTCTTTCCTTCACATTTGTCTCCCAGCTTTAGGGTTAGTATTCCAGCGTGGCTTGCCGTGTCAAAAAGCTTGAAGGCATATTTTCTCGCATCTGTGTTACCAGATATGGAGCAGTACGCATTGAATATTTCAATTGTGATATCGCGGTGAACACCAGAGTCAAGGTTTTGAAGTAGAATTACACATTCATTACATAACTCGGTCGCTTGCAGGCCACGTTCAGTGTTGAAAAGAAATATGGCGACATCTAGACCTACCTGAACTGATTTCAGGATTTCTGCAGCCTCACTCATTACGTCTCAGTCCTGTATTTTGAGGTGGAAAAGAATCAACAAAAGGCAAATGTAAAAGAAGTAAAACTGAAAAAACTTGAAGTCTTTAAGCTGTTTTTAAGTAATTTGCCGTTTTTTTCTTTTCACAAATTTTTAATTTGAACACAGTATTCCTTTTCCATTTCTTTGTACAAACCAGTCGCAAGTACATCAGCTGGGTTCAATTCAAATAATCGTTGAGCGGCAGATTTGGATATAGCTATTAAAAAAGTTTCACTAATAGAACGGCAGTTAATTTAGCAATCGTGTCGTGTTTGCATTCTTATGGATATCTTCGCCCCATTCACACTTCTGCAAGTCTCTTGGCTGCTTGCCAAATGAATATGGAGAGAACTTTTCTGAATAACGCTTCTAGCGCTAGCGGTGGAAATAGGTTTTCTTGCACTTTTACATAGAGAAAAGCATTTATGTTATTCGTACGTTTCAGCTCAGTTTGAAGAAATATTTCAACTTTTCTCGAAGAAAATCATTTCTGTTATTTCAATCAGGAAAGACACAAGCTGTCACATATTTTAATGCGAACGGGAGGTGACAGAACAACTTTTTAGACGCTTTATAAAGGAGGTTCTTCCTAACTCATCTTGCACGCGCGCTTTTTCCCCCGCATGCACGCGTTTGTCACTCGCTTAAGCTGGATGAGCGGCTGTCCTTGGAAAGTTCTTTACTGCAACAGATTTTTAGCTTCGAGTTCAAAATCTTTTGAGTGATCACAGTAAAAACTCAACCCTCAACAACTGAAATAAAGGAGATACGATGTGCTCTTTTTTTTTTTTTTTTCGGCAATTGTTCACCATATTTCGTTTAACCGAAAATTGTATTAAGATTTGAAAAAAACATTCTTTTTATATTTAATTTTACAGTGGATTTATACATGTTAAGATATGTTACAGCAGTTAGGAGGGTTAACTTGGAGGGAAAAGGTTTTCTTGTTTGAATTGTTTCGGTAAGGAATTTTAAAAACTCTCGCAGTCACGCAAAACTTTCCATGAATGAATGAATGAATGGATGAAAAACTTTATTTAAGTGTCTATGTTTTTAGCTATAAGCTAATAGGGGACACTAAAAAATTTAAAAGTCGAATACATTTACATAGGTAGATATTAGTTATTTACAGTAGATAATTAAAAAGATTTGGTATTTTGACATCTCCGTGCAGTCTGCCAACCGCCAAAGTTGTCAAACTGTCTTTTTAAAAGAAGGTGACAAATGGTTTACAAGTGACGCGTGATATGACCGAAATTATTATGTGATGCGTGAATTTTACAGAAAGGCGAGGGTGATTCCTAAATTTATGGACCAATGTAGGACGTGATATGCCTCCTGAAATATATGCGACCATTGAATTTCTTCTTTTATTTCGTGAAAACCTCGAGATTTCCCAGAAACCTTGATTTGCGTTACTTCAGCGACTCGTATACCAACTTCTCCAAATGTTTTGTTTCGTAAAAAGATAGAGTCAATTTCGTTCGAGGAAAATGAAACTAAGAGAGCGATAAAATCCAGAAATAAATAAAAAAAACACCAACAGGTCGGTCACCTTCGAAAACAGAACACGCCTTCTTAAGAAAATGATACTTTCCCACACAGACAAACGTAAATGCAAATCATAGCTGGTGTAAGAATGTTTAACGCACACGTTTGGTAAGAAGAAATCATTGAAAAAAACATAAGATGAAAGAAACATTGTTTCCCAACTTGCGCATAAGATTTATATATAACACGCGGCATTTTCTTAGTTTCAATTATGACAGAAGTGATGAACATGTAGTTTCTCCTTACGAAATCAATATACCACCAGCAGTCGAGTGGTAAGAGTAAACAGACTCATCATTCAGAGGGCGTAATCTCTGTGATTGGCAGGTTAGAATACAAAACATTTTAACACATAACGTCTCTAAAGTAAAGCTTTAGCTGCTCACCTTCGAAAACAAAAAGATCTCTGGAAAGTTAGAAGAACAAAATCAAGAAACTGATCTTCAATTTTCTCTGCAAAGCAACGAAGAATGCAAAGAGTTAGTGTAAGATCGAATAAGAAAATTATCTTTAAAAAAAAAACTAGAAATCATCGTTAAAACCTAAAAAGGATGGAACTTGCACGCGCATTGCAGCTTGCCCAAAAATATCTCACTAATATTGGGGCTCGCATATCGTTGCTAAGAGTTTGCTGGTTTAAATTGCGCTTTGTCCGATTTTTTAAAACCTTCAATTTACAGAAGTGAGGAACATGTTCCTTCTCTTTCCAATATCAACATATTATTCAGGGTGTTTCTTTTTTTTTTTTTTTAGACTGAATAAATTATCCCCATTGACTAACAAGGTAATTTGAGGGAGAAACAGTTTCTGATGAGGTCATAAATTCAAAGGGTTAAAATGATATAGATTTTAATATTATGCAATCAAATAAAAAAAAGTTGAGTTTGAATTTGAAAGATCTTCACAAATATCATCAGATCCTGATTGTTAGAACTCTTTTTAAAAATAAACACGCTTCGTTTAAATCTTGAGCCCTAATTGTTTGAGTGATGGGACCGAAAGCCGCAAGAAACAAATATAACTGAATGCAAGCAGCTCGTATGAGAATGAAGTTTTCTGTTTGATCAGTCTAAGACTTGAAATTAAAAACTGCAGTTGATAATGACCTGCTCTGAGATATATCAACATGACTTTTTGTTTCGTCTATAGGCTGCACTGGAAAACATAGGGGTGCTTTTCGTTCTACACGAGGTTAACATGAGAAATTGCTAACAACTCTTGAATTTGATTTTTGTTGCACCTCATTTGAAGTAGCGTACTAAACATTTCTTTTTATAAAAGGGAAAGGACTGTTAGCTGATGTTTTCTTCATTTTTGCTGCTTGGCCTTGAACAAGGAAGTGTGTCTCGTTTAGTATTCTGACCGTATGACTGGGGAAGCCGAGAGTAAGAAACTGAAGTAACGCTTTCCTTGCGAAACAAAGATGAATGACAATAGCAAGTCTGAAAAATCAGCTTGATCGTCGAAACCAAAAATCCTTTGGAAAACCTGAAGCTATGTCGCTCTCCAGCCTCCCCGCAATTTAGACGAAAAATAACGGGATCCTAGCCCCTTTTTAACAGAATTTCCCATTCATGCATCGTGTGTCTAGTTTTACTCTTTCACTCTCAGACTCTGATACTTAAGATTTGTTCAACATGCAATTTCTCCTAGCAATATCGATATATTCCTTAGCCAACAGTTTTGGAGAAGAAAGAAACTTCTCAGCTGGACGGTGTTCAATTGACGCAATATTTTACTTTCCAAATAATATTTACAATTACTTTTGTAACATTTAGGAAAGAAGACTTAGTAAGATCATGTAAGTTAGAGGCCTAGAGTTGAGTTATCGTTTTAGGTTTCAGACATTAATAAGTTTATGTCAAGTTTTAGCTCTGACAAATCTTTGAAAAAATCTAAGATTATCTCGAGGTTTGAGTCCCTCGCCTTTGAATATTCAATAAAAAACATTTCAGATTTGTAAAGCGGGAAACGACGTTTTCTTAGTATATAATTTTAATACTAACCTTTAAAAAAGACGTTTGTTTTCTTTGATATTCTGGCTCTATATGATTGATGAAACCAAAGTTAAGAAACTGAAAAAAACTTTCCCTGCAAATCAAAGATAAATACAAATAGCTATTGTAAGAAAGACGTTAAAACTTTATGGGTTAAAAAAGCAAAAAAAAAAATTGATGAACCAAAGAGGGAACAGTGGATATTAAGTAAAAGGATTGAGTTGGATTTGTAAAGAGCAAAAAAGGTAGTTTAGAAATGAAACCTGACTATCAAATGCTCTTCGTCTTCCTCATTAATAATAAAGCGCACAAGATTAATTTATCAAACAATGGATTTGCATACCTTGATTTAAACTAGAAATTTAGCAATACTGTGCGATTTGCAAAAACTCTGGCTTTCTACCGACATTGAAAAGCTTTTAGCTGCTTAGGACGGCCAAGGCAACTACGTTTGACGGGACCAAACGAAGATTTTATGAGAAGAAGAATCTCTGCACCTGGGATGAACGTTCCCATCGAAAAAGACATTCAATTTCGAATGGCCTACTTTCTTTAAACAATTCTTTTACGTTAGATACTAGGTATGAATGAAACGAATTTGAAGCCTCGATCTTAACACACAAGAAATGTTGTCTCCCTGGGATATATGAAGAAGACTTGGCAAAAAAAAAAAAAAAAAAAACCAAAAGGGAAATTTTTAAAGAACGACGTCCTTCTATAACAATTCATTTTGTGTCAGTACATTAATCAAGTAATGCGGTCTACATAGGAGCAACTCCGATTATAAAGGCGTTGAAATATGTATTGGAAAATTGATGAGAATTTACATTTATGCATCAGCACACAATTATATAACTCACTTACCACGACTCTAATTCTGAATGCTTTTTTGCTTTGTAACGTGAAGCAGCCAAATTAAGAATTAAATAAGCAGCATATGTGACATGTGTCTATTTTAGGGTAATAAACGCGTAGCGAATCTTAGCCCACCCCAGAAGGGCCGAGATGGAGAATGGGCTGTAAGACAAGTCGGGGAGAGGTTTGCCGGGGATCTGGTACTGACTCCGGACAGTTCTCTTGCGAGCTCGTGCTCTTGAAGGCGTCATACGTTCGTGCGGGGCCAGGAAATGTTCGTGACCCAATGCTACTAATAAGGGCTCGCAGACGGCCATAACCGCTCCTTCGCCGGAGCTGTCTTTTGCAATCGTCACGTAACGGGAGGAGAGAGAGCACTTTGCGTGACGAGACCAAACAACGGCTGCGAAGGAGACTACCGGAAGTGTTGCACCAATGCATTATACATTTGCTTACGATTATTAAGAAAACATGCAGAGACAATAAACCACAAGACATCTTTGTCTGAATTTAAATTAGATTAATTAAGAGGGGTTTCACTTCCTCTCTATTAAACGATATTTTCGTTGGAATCTTTTGAACGGAGCTCATAATTATTTCTTCAAAAATGCAAATATCGGTTACTTAGTGTCCCATTTTAACCCACTCAAATCAAAAACTAACTCTTGCCAGTGTGTGGCTTGCCTATGTTAACAAACTGCGTGGCCAAGATATTCTCGTTTTAATGCGTCGTTAAGTGACGCTTAACGCGATAAACGATCTGCCAGCCTGGAGCAGGCCCTCATTATTAACAATGCAGGGCACACGAATAACATGTGCGACATTGATCGACCGAAATTCGCTTCAACTCTCGAAAGTTAACCTGTAACATCTCATGCATTGCGATATTAATCCATTTTTATTACACGACTCAGGCAGTCAGAGGGCCAATAACTAAAATCAACCAATCAAAATGCTCTATTGCCGGTCAATATTCTCTCAGTATTGGACCGGGCACTGTCCCGAATGATCCCGAATGATACCGCACTTGTGTCCCTTTGAACTTCAGTCGTATAACGGTTGTGTTAGAATCTTACACAATTAATGCTTTTTCTCCTGCCTGTTTGATTTCCGAGTTAATTCTACCTCACTCTTCGTACAAATTTATATCTATTTCCTACATCAGAATCTAGCGACCTGGACTTTTTACGAATTCTGGCTGATGGTCACGTCAATATCCGACAACCTGTTTGCACTTTTCTGTTTGACTATTGTGTCTCGCGCAAAGTCTACTCCTAATTTTTCCTCAAAAATTTTCTCCCCGTTTCTTCTCTTTTTTGTTTGTTAATAACTTTTTTGAATATTGCACATTGTTTGTTCCCTTCTCACATTTTTTAACGATAAACTAACTTCCTGCTCTCAATTTTTTCATTCCAAGTTTAATTTTAGTTCCCTATCAAAATACTTAACAGATCTAACAGCTAAATTGCAAGTTTCGCTGTCGCTCCCTTTCGACTCAGCCATGCTTACAAAAGCCTGCAAAAGCTACTTGACTTAGGAAAAAAAATTAAAATGTCTACGCAAACCAAAACTAGTGTCTATTCAAAAAAGATGCAAGGGAAGAAGAATATTTGTGTGGGATGAGTAGTCACTCTGTTCCTTCTCTGCCTCTTTGTTGTCCTCGTTGAGTTCTTCTTTCCTAAGAAAAACATATACATTTGTCACTATTTCAACTTTAAAGCAATCGTAACAGATTTCCTGTAAAAGAAATTTCTTTGCGCTTCTATGTCATTGCATATGACTATCCAAACTTCCAAAATTATTGTCGAATATACCATGCTTGATGCGAAAGTTACTTTTAGATTTTCATTTAATTGTCACATTGTTGTTGAATTTCTACGACATAAAATTAGCTGTTTCACTTTCTCAGATTACCTTCATCGTCGTAGTGTCTAACATCGTATCGGCCTTCAGCAATTATTTCTGACTATCTTCCATGCATGAAAAACTGTAATTATAAAGGCCAATCTTAGAAAGCTATTCCGCGTTAAAATCTTGCGGCTTTGAGCACCAGATAATATCAACTTTTGACATTTTGTGAATGAAAGACAAAGATAAGAATAAACAGTATGGAATTAGTACAAGTTGGTCAACAGAAAGAGTTTAGTTCAGTTGCTACTCGGTTTATAAAAGAAAATTGATCATAATAATCTGACTTACCCTTTTCTCAAAAAGTCAAATGTCACGTTATCCTCTATCAGCACGAAAGGAGCCCATTGCGAAGGTTTGGGAAAGCCATTGCTTCTTAACCATTGGACGGCCTGGTGAAGAGATTTACAGGCACTTTCTCTACGAACAAGGTGTTTGTAGAAATGCTCCATGAGCTTGGCCGTTGCTTCGTCTTCTATATCCCACGATGCCACCAACACTGAACGTGCACCGGAGGCTAAGAATGCTCGAGCGATTCCAATTACTCCTTCCTTTTTAACCAATCCACGCCCGTTGTGACAACGGCTGAGTACGACCAGTTTAGCTCGCACTTGAACTCCTTGAATGTCGGACATTGTCAGGAGGTAATCTTCCTCCTTTGAAGTAATGTTAGTACTACATTGAGAACTATTACTGGTACATTGAGGAGAGAGGGCAATCTCTCCTCTTTCGGCATTTCCATGTGCGGCAAGATGTATCAGACTCACTGAAGGTATTGCTTGAAGTACTGCCTGCTTTGTTGCGCGCCTTTCTGTTAAAGGTTGAACGTCCAGCAGTCGACCAACCATCTGTGCTTCCTTATTTGCACAGGACAATGGTGTAACGTCAAGGACTCCTCCATTGTAAAAGACTTTGCGTACCGTAGGATTACCCACGACCAGTGCGTCACTTTGACTGTGATAGTCGGATGGACATTCTTGAATGTGCCGAAGAGTCGTTAGAGAAGGGACGATGCGTATTCTGTACTTCTCCGATAAATACTTTCTGGCTGATTCATCACGCAAGGCAGCATATGGGACTCTGTACGAAAAACGATCCGGCATAATGATGATTTCAGGCTCTGTAAGTAAATCTGCTATAAGCGCGACGATCCATTGCTAACACGAATGATGAATCCTTCAGGTATCTTTAGTTTCGTCACCTCGTAAATTTGCCCGGCTCTCTTCATGAACAGAAGTCGTCACGCTGTTATCCAAAGAACGGGCTTCGCAGTTGGCTGTGGGTAAAACGCCAAAACAGGTGGCACTCTTTTTGAAAACTCCCTCCAAATCGCAAACTTGATCAGCAATAAGAGTCTCTACTTTGACTTCGTCTGCTGCTCGAAAGCAATGTCTCCATTTACTTTCAATACCCAGAGAATAACTTGCCACTCTGTATGAGAAATGTATAAAAAAACAGTTACTTTCTCTTTTCATAATGTTTTCAATCCCGAACCATGATTGTGGATCAGCTGAGATGTGGCTTTCAGCGGAATTTTTGCCTGCCATGATTTCTGCGAGAACTCTTGCTCGTCCCAGCTCCTGAACATAGAGAGCATCTCGAAAAATGTTTAGCCTTGCAAAGCAAGTTGCTGAGTAACTGATAGGGAAAAGAACCGCGTTCCTTTAATAGAGACATTTCCAACTCACTGTTTTCTTTCAGAGAAGTTTTAATTTGTTCATATTTTCCAATACATTGAAGAAGATATCCCTTTGCCTCCACAGCCTCTGACTGAAATATCTTTAACTGTGTAATACTGAGAAGGCTTTGAAACTCGAACATTTTGAGTCCAATTTGGCTGCTTATGGAGCAAGCTTTCTTAATATAATCTGCTGCCTTGCCATATTCACCAAGCCATCGGAATACTTTTCCAAGCGTTGTGTAAAGTTGTGCTTCTAACTTCCTATCGTCACATTCCTTGCTGCTGATGATAAGCGCCCTCTCACAATGTTCTTTTGCCTTCTGGTTGTCATTCACAGAAGCAGAGACATCTGCCAATGCTGCAGTAGCAATGGCTTCTAGTTCTCTGTCACCAATCGCTATACTGACGGCGACTGTTTTGTCCAAATGTTCTTTAGCATGCCGACTCTTTCGAAGCGTACTGTAAATGTTTCCAGGATTGAAGTATGACAAACATTCTCCTTTTTTGTCGCCGATTTCTATCTCGATGGCAAGAGCTTTCCCGTAATATTCTTTAGCCTTCGAATATTCGCCAAGAGAATCAAACAGAGTTCCGAGGTAACCGTACCCTGTTGCTTTCCCTTTCTGTCACCAATTTCTATCGCGATGGTAAGTGCTTTCTCGTGATATTCTTTAGCCTTTTGCTATTCGCAAAGGCGAGAAAACACATTTCCGAGGTTCCCGTATGTTGTTCCTTTTACTTTTCTGTCGCCAATTTCTATCGCGATGGCAAGTGCTTTCTCATAATATTCTTTAGCCTCCTGATATTCGTAAAGGGAATTAAACACAGCATCGAGGTTACCGTACCTTGTTGCTTTCCCCTTTCTGTCACCAATTTCTATCGCGATGGCAAGTGCTTTCTCGTGATACTCTTTAGCCCTCTAATATTCGCTAAGATGAGAAAACACAACTCCGATGCTCCCGTATGCTGTTCCTTCTACTTTTCTGTCGCCAGTTTCTCTCGCGATGGCAAGTGTTTTCTCGTGATACTCCTTAGCTTTCTGATATTCGCCAAGGTGAGAAGACACTTTTCCGAGGCCCCCCAGGTTACTCCTTCCCCATTTCTGTCGCCAATTTCTATCGCGATGGCAAGTGCTTTCTGGTAATATTCTTTAGCATTCTGATATTCCCCAAGGGAATCAAACACATTTCCGAGGCCTCCGTATATTGTTCCTTCCCTATATCAAGTGCTTTCTCTTAATATTCTTCAGCCTTCTGATATTCGCAAAGGGAATGAAACATTTTTCCGAGGTCTAGGTATCTTGTTGTTTCTCCCTTTCTTCGTGCTTTCTCCTGATCATATTCTTTAGCCCTCTCATATTCGCCAAGGGAGTGAAACACAGCTCCGAGGTTTCCGTATGTTTTTCCTTCTACTTTTCTGTGGCCAATTTCTATCGCAATGGCAAGTGCTTTCTCGTGATATTCCTTAGCTTTCTGAGATTCGCCCGAGGCGAGAAAACACACTTCCGAGGTTCAGGTATGTTGTTCCTTGTCCATTTCTGTCGCCAGTTTCAATCACAATGGCAAGTACTTTCTCGTGATATTCTTTAGCCTTCTGATATTCGCCTAAGTGAGAAAACACAGTTCCGAGGTTCCCGTTTCCTATTGCTTCTCCACATCTGTCGCCAATTTCTATCGCGATGGCAAGTGCTTTCTCGTCATATTCTTTAGCCTTCTGATATTCCCCAAGGTTATAAAACACAGTTCCGAGGTTCCCGTATGTTGATCCTTCCCCATTTCGGTCGCCAATTTCTATCGCTATGGTTAGTGCTTTCTCATGGTGTTTTGCTTTTAACCCTTGAATAAGGAAGTGTTCCTCGTTTAGTATTAAATTCTGATCTGTTTACTATTGTTCCCACCAATCACGTAGTTCCATTTTCTGCCTCTAAAAGCACACACAACCCACAATTCCTCTATTCGCTCTGACGAAGGGCTAACGCTCGAAACGTCAGCTTTTATAATCGTAACGGTGGCCAATTTACCATTTCAACTTTGTTGGTATATTGAAATTACTTCGTTACCCCCACCGACGCAGCCCCAAACAGTTTCTTTAGAAACTATCAGCCTTTTTTCATTCGTATTCTGGTCGTATGACTGAGGAAGCCAAGATCCACAGTAAGAAACTGAAATAACGCTTCACCCTGTGAAACAGAAATCAATGGCAATAAGAAGTGTGATTGTTGAAACAAAAAATTCTTTAGAAAACCTAAAACAGAATTGTCTCTCTCCAGCCTCCCCGTAATTCAGATTAAAAAAAAAAAAAAGCTTGGCATCTTTGTTCTTTCTAAATCAGAATTTACCGTTCATGCATCGCGTGTCTCTTTTACGCTCTTACTCTTAGGCCTGACATCTAAGAATTGTTTAACATGCAATTTCTCCCCGCAGTAACAATTCATTCTTCAGCCAACAGTTTTGGAGAAGAAAGAAACTTATCAGGTGAATGGTGTTCAATTGACGCAATATTTTACTTTCTGAATAATATTTACATTGACTTTTGTAACATTTAGGAGAGGAGACTTAGAAAGATCACGAAAGTAAAGGCCTAAAGCTCAGTTAATCATGTTATTTTGCAGACTGTGACAAGTTTAAGTCAAGTTTTCAGCAACAAATCTTTGCCAAAGTCTAAGATGATCCCGAGGTTTGAGTCCCCCGCCTTTGATCGAATGTTTAGACCACAACATTTCAGTTTTGTAAAGTGTGAAACGATCGTTTCTAAATATATTTTTTACTACAAACCTTTTACAGAAGATACTTGTCCTGTTCATATTTCAGTCCAATGACCGTCCGGCTGATGAAACCAAAAGTAAGAAACTGTAGTAAATTAAACTTTCTCTGCAATACAAACATAGATGCAAAAAGCTATTGTAAGAAAGACGTAAAAACTTTATGGGTGAAAAAAGAGATTGATAAACCAAAGAGGGAACAGTAGATATCAAATATAAAGATTGAGTTGGATTTAAAAAGAGCAAAAAAAGGCAGTTTAGAAATGAAACTATTAAATGCTCTTCATCTTCCACATAAATAAAGTGCACAAGATTAATTTATCAAACAGAATAGATTTTTTCCGCCCTGATTTCATTTGATATTTAGCAATGCTGGGTGATTTGTACAAATCCGCGTTGCCATCGACACTGAAAAGCCTTTAGATACGGAGGACGGCCAAGGCAACCGACATCAGAAGGAACTAAACGGAGATTTTATAAGAAGAATCTCTGCTCTTGTGATGAACATTCTTATCAAAAATAACTCAATTTCAAACGGTCTTTTTCTAACCCGATTGTTTAACGTTGGATGGGTATGGAGTAAACTAATTTGAAGCACTGATTTAATTGCGGAAGAGATTTTCTCTACTTAGGATGTGAAGAAAATTTTGAAAAGAAAAAGAGGGAAGTTATTTAGAACGACTTCCTCTACAACAATTCATATTGCGTCAAGATATTAATTAATATAGTAATGGTCTCTACAATAGCAGCTCCGATAATAAAGGTGTTGAAAAGTGTATGGTAAAATTGATGGCAAGTCACTGTAACACATCAGTACATTAACTATCAAATATCGCACTTACCTCGACTTTAACTCTGAACGCTTTGTTTTCTTTGTAAAGCGGTGAAGTAACCAAATTTAGAAAAAAAAATCAGCAGCATACACATGTATGTGACAATTGTTTATTTTAGAGTTATAACCGCGTGATAAATCTTAGCCCACCCCTAAGGGGTCGATAAAGAGCATGCGTTGTTAGACAAGTCAGGGAGAGATTTGCCGGGGCAGTCTGGCACTAATTATCAGAGCTAGACCCCGGACAGACCTCTTGTCGACTCGTGTTCTTGAAGGCCCCATACATTCGTGCGGATGTGGCAGTGTTCCTGGCAAAATGCTGTTAATGAGGGCTCGCAGGCAATTGTAACCTCCTTTACAGCCGTTGTTTGCTTTCATTGCGCAGCGAAAGGAGGGAGAGAGAGAGCACGTTGCGGGACGAGACCAAACAACGGTTGCGAAAGAGCCTGTAGTAAGTGTTTCCCCAATGAAGTTTATCTTTACTTACAACTAGTCAGACAACAAGTATAATAGACAACAAAATAACTGAGTTTAAATCAGATGAATTGAAATATTTTTTTCTTTTTCTCCATTAAACGATATTTTCGTTAGGACTTGATCTTTTGAACTCATTTAAGGTTTTTTTCTTTTACAAACACCAGTTACTGAGAGTCCAATCTTTACCCACCCACCCAKAGATGACTCTCACACACCTGGCATGCCTATGTTTAGATAAGTGAAGATAGGGACAAAATTCACTCTTCAGTTTCGATATGGTAGCGGTTTAAATCTACGGTTTTCTATCACCCGGTTTGCGAGTGAGCGATAGAGGCCGCCCCGAAATTTTTTTCATGCGGTAGTCAGGAATCTAGTTCCTTCAAATATTTGTGCGATTTTCAATTTTAGTGTTGAAACTAATCCGGGATCGCTTCGGTTTTGCTTTACTTCGCTTTGTGGTTGGTCCACAAAACTCGCGCCATTCTCTTAGCCAATCAGATCCAAAGCTAAACCAACCACGGCTTAGACACCCCCATTTATCCGCGCTTTAAGCAGTTTATTTGTCTTCACTTTGCGCCTGCGCCGTTATTGGCCTTTTGTAGTATTTTCTTGTCCTTTGATTGGTTGTTTTGATAGCTAACCCTAACTATGGCAAACTAAGACAATCGATTGAAATGCACTCTGAGGACACTAAAATCAAATCCGATCAACACCGTTTCTCTTAGAGTCTCCTTTTAAAATAAATCGTTTGCCGAAAGAAAAGTTTGCAAAATTATAAAGGATCTTTATTGGAGTTTCGACTATAGGATCGCGACGCTGTCGCCGAGGGAAAACATTCTGATACTTGGCTCTAATGTAAATGATCTAAAGCAGAGGAAGAACGTTGGGACTTAGCCACCGGCAATATACAAGAAAGCTTGCGTATCAAACTAACTCAGTTTATCTCAACTCAAGCATTGTCACGTTATTTAAACCAGGAACATACAAGACTGGTTTTCAGAAGCTTTGTTCCTTATCAAATTGGTTTGTTTTTTAGAAGAACGTAGAGTCTCTTTGATTAAAAGGGGAGCAAAGTTGAATTAGAAAGGAAAAGGAAGGCTCGATTTCCGCCGTTTTCTAGAGTTCCCGACTGAATAGGGAAGGCAGTGACTTCGTTAAGATGAGCGCAGGCTCATTTCCCGGACAGCGGCTCACAATCGAACGCATTGCCTGGTCAGTTGTTCTAGTTCAAATGCCATGCGTAACTATTGCATCACAACCTTTCAAATCCTTGCAACCCATTCAGTTTATAAAATTATGTAATCTACTTTCTATTTCTTTTTTCACAACACCCAAAATATTTCATAGAAACCAGGTTTCTTTAGTGCTCTCTAATACCTTACGGTTCAATTTTGAAGGTACGTCTAGTGATATCAAATTTTTATCGCCTAAAACAAGACTATTTATTTTCCAATTTCGTTCTTCGTACGTCTTTCGGTGTATTATATAGAATTAATTTCAAACGTTTACTAATACATTTTCAAAGTAATATTTTTGAATTTCGATATATTATATATTTATACAGAATTGTAAATAAGATTATTTTAAATCATGGAAGTATCAGAAAATATCGTTGTAAACAATTCTGTTGGTGATACGTCAACCAAAAAATTGAGTCCATGGGGAAAAAGCCCTGCTGTGGCTCCATGTTCCTTGGCTTCTGTTATGGACGAGGAAATCGCTAAAGAACTCCAGGCTAAAGAAGACTGCTTGGCTGGATATCATCTTCAAGGAGACAAAGCTTCATCTGCAAACACGTTTGAAGGTAACAAACTGACATTAAGGGTGAATCTTTAGGACACGAGATAAAATCATGGTCTCTATATGACATTCACTTACTGTGACCCCCTTCACCGTTTGCACTCTTGCTTTCTCTATTTATTCCATGTTATTGTTAAGAACTTATGGTAATGTTAGGAACTTCGTCTGGTTTTTCTCACATTGTTGCAACATGTAAAGGTTTAAAGTTTGTGTTGAGCTTGATTTCCTGCCTGACTCCACAGTAATCTCAGTATGACAAGTTTTGAAGTTCATGCCAAACATAATTTCTTAGCAGTTTAGTTTTGAGTGACCCATCTGTTGTCACCCAAATATAGCATTTGCTTCACACTTCAATAACCCATACGTTGTGTCACTGTTTGTGTTGTAATTTTTTAATTTACAAACTCTGCAATAATTATGATTTTTTCCACTTCCAAAGTGCTAACAATCACTGCTTAACCCTACATCCCAATATCAGCATGCATATTCTTCATACTGCTCTCCATACATTTCCTAAGGTGCTAAGAGAGGAAATCTGTTTAATAATCAAGACCTTATTTAGTAGGTGATCATTTCCTTTATTCTTGTAATTTTCATGTACATGTATATGATTCAGGGGTGATATTGTAGGGAGAAAGTACACAGTAGTCGCTTTTAGGCAAGGCTGTGCTCTGAGAAAAAGTGAAAGGAGCCCAGTGCTCTGAAACTTTGAAATACAGGGAGCCTAGTGTATGCTTTTATAGGAAGAAACTAAAATTCCCAAGTTGCTCAAGAGTGAAAGTAAGGTGCCAGGGGCCACTGGGTGCTGCTAGACCACAGCCCTGTTTGGGGTCAAAACATTAATTCTCTGACAAGGAAGATAATTTGTTTCATAAAATATACTTATTTAGCATTCTTAGTTTTTGTATGCAGAAGTTTGTCTTACTATTAACCTTTTAACCCCTTAGAATGACTAGCATCTAATTTCTCCTCACAATGTCACCCTTGAATCACACATTAAGATCACGAGAATGAAGGAAACGATCACCAACTAAAGCAGCTCATGACTGTTAAACAATTTTCCTTGTCAGCACCTTAGGAAATGTATAGATATTGATGCAGTGACTTAGGTGATATTTCCTCATGATGTTTTGTTGAGTGTAGTTGTAAGTTGTGCAATTAAAAATTGTTTTTTTTTTTTTTCTTTTTTTTTTCCAGGGGGAACAAGTCCAGACACTGAGAATGATTTTCTCCTGGCCCAGATGATGCAACTTGAGTATGATAAAGAGTATGATCGCACAATTGATTCCATGGAAAAGAGATACAATGGGGAAAGTAAAGGTATAAAAATGAGAGCTGGTGGTAAGGGTAACTTTATGCAGTGTTTCAAATTTGATGAAATAGTTTTGCATAAAACAGTAGTCATCATTTTGAAGCTCCTGGGATAAACCCCACTGGTCCCTTAGTCTATCAGACAATTTGGTTTTATCAACTGAGTTGATAATGTAAGTTGGCCATGGAATAGAGTTTTTAAAGCTAATTCATGTGATTAGAGCTAAAACAAAGAGCTCTTACAAAGGGGTAATGCTCGGAACTTGAGCTTTAGAACTCTTAACCAATTTACATGATCAATTGATAAACCAAATTATTTTGTAATACGTCTCCACCAAGTTTTAGTTGTTTGACTGTAATTACCATGACTATTATTTTGTGGGTTAGCAAGTATACACAACTGTGGCTAACTCAAACTTTCAAAGGTCCAAGATATTTAGAGCTGTTTAAATTATTGTTGATATTAAAATAGAAGTCATTGAAAAATATGTTTTGAAGTTAGTTGGAGGTTATTGGGAGTCAAAACATGAGAAATTCCATTATTCACCATGATTGTACCTTTTCTTGTATGGTGGCTTATTTCATGTTAATTGTTTTCAGTGTCTGTCTCCTTTGACAATTTCCGCAATGTCCATCCAATCTTGAAGGAAGATTCCAGCTCTTCAGATTCAGAAGAGTGGAATGCAGAGGAACTTGGTAATTGCATCAATTTGATTGTTCTTAGCTGTGTTCTACACTCTTAATCTATAATATTTGAATTTCCTGGCAGTAATATCATTGAATGTAGATGTATAGAGTAACCACTTAATGGCTGTGATTACATGAAAATCATATATTTGAACTGCTGTTAAAGAAACGCATATGAGAATGATCTTCGCAGTGAGGAGTACTACTTATTAAGCAGTAGTGAAAATAAGACCTTAAAAAAAAAAAGAAAGATTCAAGCCTGTACGGGATTTGAAACCATGACCTCTGTGATACTGGTGCAGTGCTCTACTAACTGAGTTAACAAAGTCGATTGGGAGCTGGTCATTGTGGTAGTTCATAATAAACCTGTGAGGTGATGAATATATGAAAATCATATATTTGAAATGCGGTTAAAGAAACGCATATGGGAATGATCTTTGCAGCGAGGAGCACTACTTAAGCATTTGATTTTGAAATCATGCATAAATTATGATTTCAGATCAGATTGCATTCCTCTCAGTTCAATTACTATGAATCATTTATTTTCCTAACCTTGATTTGTGATTAAGGGATGAAACTGTTATGAGAAATTAAATGGTTATCTCTCTTGGTGGGTTAAGGGTTCAACTGACCTGATGAACTTTACCTGAGTCTTACAGTCAATAATATTTTGGTGAAATTGGTCTGTAAGTTTCCCCACATCAAAGCAAGATTGACCATAAATTTCTACCAAGTTTTTCCAAATTGGTGACTTCCTCTGCAACTTTAATGGCCTTAAATGGTTTTTTTGTTTATCATGATGATGATGGTGATTAAAATGATAGCAGCTTGAGTGACTGTATCATGGACAAGATCCACACCATTTAATCAACGAACTCTCACCTGGATGATAACACTAGATGGCTGACTCTTATACCCAAGTTCAAATCCTTTTTTTTTTTTTTTTTTTTTAAGATTATTAAAAATGTATTTTTCAGTCACTGATCTTGAGCCCCTGAAATAACTTTCCTATAGTTCAGCACTTTGATGAGAGGTTACATGCAAAAAGTATGGTCAAGAGACTTAATCCCTGTTTGGAAAGTTTGGCACATTGTAATATTAATTTTAAATAATGATTATGTGTAATGCTGGTTTCCTCAACAGATCCTCCACATAGACATCCCAAGCCTCAAACTAAGCAATCTTCAGGGAATAAAAAGGAGATAATCACCAAACATGATTCAACTGTGTGTGGTCGTCGTAATGTAAAGATTATGGAAAAGGTAAGATCTAATTTGAGGAAAAGGTTCTTTTATTATTTTAGAAATTTTAAGGGGAAAAGTTTACTGATAATAATACTGTAGTGGGGTAAAGGAGCAGTCATTCATAAAAGAACTGTTTCAATTGAGTACTCTGTTGTGGTTACCTTAACAGTTTCCACCAAGTTTTGCTGCTGGTGATATTGGCAGTGCAGGACTGGATCTCAAGCTCTCTAATGGAGTGTTCAACACTTTGAAGCAACATTCTTACCGCGAAGAACGACAGAGTGCACGCCTCCATGAAAAGAAGGAACACTCAACACATGTAGGGTATTCCTTTTTTTTGACTTAAATGATTACCTTGAGTCTTAAAGCCTCCTCAAATTATAGAAAAAATAATTTGACCACAACTTCTTGAGAAAAACTGGGTTGTTCTGTTGCATCCACTGCCATTGGAGAAAGAAACCAAAAGCTTGCTAGATGTGATCCAACAGGGAACTCCTTGATGGAGTGAAAAAGAAAAAATCCCAAATCAATTTTGAGTCAACTTACTTATTACAACTGTGTTTAGATATGGCACCAAGGAGAAATTTAATTTTGTAAAAAATTATTTATTAGGTATGTTTTTAAGATAATTATGTGACATGTAATAGGGTGTATTATATGCACTGTTTGTTGTAGGAGCAAGTTTTAGATCCGAAGACCAGGCTAATGTTGTACAAACTGGTGAATGGAGAAGTTCTGGAAGCTGTTAATGGTTGCATTAGCACAGGAAAAGAGGCATGTGTATTTCATGCCAATGGAGGAAGGTTCGTAATAGCTGTAATGAAACACTTTGTAAGGGTTTAACATGATAGGAGAAAACATTTTCTGTTTTGAAGTTTTGGAAATAGACAATCTTCTAAAGGATAAACTTTGAGGGAGAACAACATCATTCTGTTATTCTTAGTATTTTAAGCCTGCTTACTAATGGCAAGAAGTCATGGACACAGTTGTATTGAAATGTTGATCGAAGAGAATAATTCTGACTGGATGAGATATCAAAGTACACTGCTGGAAGGTTTTTTTGCTAAGAGACTTTAAATCTTGTTGTGGTAAAATTAACAAAAGTAAATTTTTTTTTTGGGAAGTAGGAGAAAATATGCTAGCTTTTTAAGAGGGTACAGTAACTGTTATATCTTGTCTACAATTTGAGTTTTTTTGTCAAGCCACTAGGTCATTGGGATCTTGGTAGTCTGGTCATTGGGATCTTGGTAGTCTTGCTCTTAGGATTAAGTGATAGTATTACTCACCAAATTTGTTCCTGGTTGCCTGTTTTCTTAGCAGTTGTACTCTGTTAATAGCCAAGTCACCTCCTGCCAGTTGCAATTTCTGATAAATTTGTGTTTATTAAAAAAAAAAATATATATATATATATATATATATTTTATTCCCTTGTTTACATTCTTCCCGACCTTAAAACACCTATTAGGGGATGTGGTCAAATAAGTAACTTTTAAAAGTGATTGTTATAGTTATTATTTTTTGTTACTGAAAGAGAGATGTCCTCAATTAAAAGTATTTTTGTACTTTGCACAGGAGAGAGGGGGAACCAATGCCAGAAGAATGCGCTGTCAAAGTGTTCAAAACAACTCTGAATGAATTCAAGACAAGGGATCGCTACATCAAAGATGATCATCGCTTTAAAGATCGCTTCAGTAAGCAGAATCCCAGGAAGATTATCAGGCTATGGGCAGAGAAGGAAATGTGCAATTTGAGCAGGTCTGTTGTGTATGAATGTTGTGGCTCAATTTATCGCAATTTGTTTGTTTCAAGGAACCTTTGCCACAGCCACAAGAGGTTGTATCACAGAGATTCCCTTTCCAGCAATCCCAAGATCCAAGGATTTGGCCAGCATCAACTTGTGCCACTTATCTGACTGATGTGTGAAACTACATGTTAGTGTACAATCATGTACATTGAAGGACCTGAACATAAGCTACTGACAGTTAACATATTGACACAGTCCACCTGTAATAATTAAGCAGATTTGATTTTGATTGTTTCAATGGTATGACAAAAGGATTTGAATGTCGAATAAACTAGTTTTTGGTGGTTGCTAAGCTTACACATTAATGAGACTTATTATAAGCACTGGCCATATTTCAAAGGCCAGTTTTGTCTGTCACTTTTAGTTCCTGGGATAAAACTACTCTTCACCCCTTCCTTGGTGGGATGTTAGTCCCTTTTGCACAACAGCTAGCCCTATAGAAGTTTCTTATTTTTATGACAGTTTGCCAGCACTCATTTATACACCTGAAGGGCAGAACATTGTAGGGACTGTTGAGTTGAGTGTGTCTTGGCCAAGAGAAAAAGAAATTCATGGACACAAACTTTTTCATTTGATCAGGAATCTAGCATGCTAACTCACTAAGCCACCAGTCTCTCACTGTTGTAGGTATTAATTGGGAATTGTTTTGAATTCAGAATGAAGAAAGCTGGTATTCCATGTCCAACAGTGGCACTCCTGAAGAAACATATACTAATCATGAGTTTTATTGGCAAGAATCAACAACCTGCACCAAAACTGAAAGATGCTGTTCTATCTCCACGCCAATTACAACAGGCTTACCAACAGTGTGTTCAAGTATGATAGTCATATATTTACAGTTGTTCAGAAACTGCTGCATGAATTCTTTCCTAACTCATGAAACTAGATGGAAACAAACATGAGGGGAAAAATGAGATGTAAACTCTGTCTATAGTCATTTCAATGAGTTCCCTGGAAAGTCGCATTAATTTTGTACTTCGGTACTCCATATTTGTGCTAGAAAATGTTAAAAATATGTTTTAGTTGCTCAAAGATAAAGGTCAGTGGCCTGTGGCACTTAGGATCTACTAATTTGAAAAAAAGTGAAACTTTGATAAATATATTTTGTTTGAAGAGATGATATTGTGATATTGCAGATGATGTGTACAATGTACCAGAAATGCAAACTGATTCATGCTGATTTGAGTGAATACAACATGTTGTGGCATGAAGACAAAGTCTGGTTTATTGATGTCAGTCAGTCAGTGGAACCGATGCACCCCCATGCCTTGGAGTTCCTCTACAGAGACTGCACAAATGTTGTTGAGTTCTTCACCAAGTGCAGAGTTCCAGATGTTTTGTTAGCTCATGACTTGTTCAATGAGGTCACGCAATTGGCCATCTCACTGAGCCCAGAACAAGGTTTTCTGTCCCAGGTAACAACTCTCTTAGAGACCTTAACTCTCACCTCTTGAAACTAAGTTTTCAGTCTTCAGCAGTCAAAGTTCTCTCACAAAAATGTGTTTAATTATTTTTCTAGGTTCAAGCTTATGAGAAACATGAACTTTCTGTTGGAGGGAGAAAGAATGAAGAGCCTTATGACTTTGATTACTTCTTTAACAAGACAAGCACACAGTTGCAATGATTGGTTTTGGAGATTACTCTCAGACTCTTCCAATACAGTTATGATAATTGTATCTCAGAAATCTCCACTTTTGTGGTAGATAAATATACTGTGGGGTACAGATCTCTCTCAAACAAAGCTAGGTATATTATCAGTCTGCACTTGTTAGAACATTGAGCATGTCCAGTTAATGTGCTCAGACAGGGACAGGTATCAAGAACTGTGTAAGAGATACTCGTATATTAAATTCATATCAAGAATTCTTAGTGCCAATAGTTTAAAAATTAGCTTTTGTCTTGAATTGCAGCATGGCATTCTAATACTTATCAGACTTCTAATAGTTTGCTGACTTTCCACTAGAAAGCTTGGACTATAAGATGGAAAGAATGAAAACTCAACAAAGGATGTTACCTACTTTCTTATGTAAAATTTCAATCCTGCACTATAAGCTGCAATTGAAGGCTATTAAAGAAAGATTTTCAAAATTGAATTATACCCGTCCAGTAGTTTTACTTTCTTACATGCAACTACAACATTTTGTTGTTTGTTTCATTCCCCTGCAGGACTGTCACTACTTTTTGTTAATGAATTTTGACACACTGCCATATCTTTGTATTGTTCATAACTAAACACTTTTTAAAATGACAGTTAAAACAATGAAGTCTGTAGTTGAGCCAAGTGGCCAGGCATCCAGAGAAAGCTTTTCCCAGTCCAGCACAAGGTTCTAACAATTTGTGGGTAACTTTTTACCCTCCTGGTTGTATAGAGGCACTGTGAAAGTAGAGTGTTTTGCCCAAGAACACGTCATAATGAATAGGCCAGGTCCTGAACCCACATCTCCTGGTCTGGAGTCCCATGCACTAAACATTAGGTCACTGCATCTCCCACTTAAACTGACAGTGCAGCCTTAATGAAAGATATAAATTGGAAAGCTTGATGAAATGAGACACCTTCCTAATGTAAATTATTTAATCAATTTAATGTTCTTTCAGTGTTGGTAATGCAGAGATTCAAATGTTGTCCATGAGTTGTTCGTTTTTCATTTACTTCTATTAGCCATCTAACCCACATTTATTTGAATGAATTTTTTTGTTCCTAGTCATGACGTATCTGTTCGTCAACAACCTGAAAGTTTATGCTTGCTTCACCAGCATTATTTTAAAATTTTAGAAGGAAGTTTTATTTAACCTTTAATTTGATTCTCTTGAAAAATTACTGAAAGAAACATTGCTGTAAAATGATAACTTTTTATTTAAGACAATACTAACTACAAAATCAATTATTTTATCATCATTTAGACAACTGAGGTTGTAGTTTAAAGAAGCACATCATCTTTCTGGGCTTCTTCTGCCACTTTTGGCATGCCAGCCACAACAGCAGACTCGATACCGCATTCATCCTTGCCTCGAAGAATCTTAAAATATCCTGTTTGGAAAAAAATAAAAGAGAACTAAGGGCTGATGATCTTGGGCTTTCTTCAGATGGTCATGATAGCCTGGGCTCTTAGCTATTTGCAGTTAATTGTTTGGGCTCACACGTAACTCTTTGATCCCCAAGAGTAACAAGCATCTGATTTTTCCTCACAGTATCAGCCCTGAATTACAAATAGAAGTCACATGGATAAAGGAAATGATTGCCAACTGAAGAAGCTCTTGATTGTTAAGCAAATTCTCCTTGTCAGCACCTCGGGAAATGGGTAAACAATCTAGGGGATATGCATACTGATGTTAGGGACTAAAGGGTGTTGAGCTTGAACATCAAAGAAATTTAGTTTCATTTCAAAGAAATGCATTGTGAATGTGGGGAGTGAGTGTGTGTCATGGAAGTTTACATCAGAGGAAAACTGTTTTCAAAAAGAGATTAATGAATGGTGAACAAATTATCACTTCTGTCAATAAAATCAAATCTTCATCCCCAACCAGGCAACCTCTAGGCATTTGAACTTTTGAAGATTGGTTTGTTCAAATACCTGCTCCACTTAACTCTTTTGTAAGAGGCAAAATCAGCAACCAGGACTTTTCTACACATTGACCAAGCTTTAAAATGTAGACTTTGTTCACCTTTCAGGGCTCGACGTTACAACCTGTGGGGTCGCCAATGCGACTAGATTTTATTCACTGGCAGGCCTGGTTGCCAGGCTGGCCCCAAGACTTTTTGATTTAGTTTTAAAATTTCTTATTGAGTTCAATACTCCGATACTTTTGCGTTCGCATATGAAGCCTATGAAATCGTGTTCCATTCTCTTTTTGGCTACTTTATTTACTTGCTCAGTAGCAAACGCAAAGTGAAATCTACATGCACGAGTCACAATAGTAAACTTTTTTAATGCAAATTTCTGTTGACATTTGCGCCCATGGCGACAAAGCGTTGCGTGACGACCCAAATGAGAGCTTTGCTGATAAATTATTGTGATTAATTGTATTTTATTGACTTCTAATAAAGTACTGTTGAGGTCACGCTGTTTGTCGAACAGACTTCTTGCTAAATCAACTTTTCCCCGAAACTATTGATGATCTTTCCATCACGTGCTAGGCAACGAACCAAATCATGTTTCACCGATGTTCATTCCTGAACATCAATGTAAATGTGGGATGCAAAACAAATGTTTGCAGATTTTGTTCTTTAATAGCCTAAATAGGTCTTTTTGTAATTCCAAAAATTTGTTTAACTGCAAGTGTATTTTATTTCCTGAAGCTTGAATAACTCTTTGAGGGAATTTACGAGTCACTAGTTACAGCTGCCCACGGGTAAGTGTTAATCAATGCAAATGGCCAATGGGCGAGAACAATGGGAAAGGAAGCCTTAAAGTATCAATAAAACGTTCTTGCAAAATAATTTTTCTAAAGCGACGGTGTTACAGACCCACAGAAAGATGGTCTCCATTGGAACTTCTTCAACAGAGTATTTCAGGTAAAGGATCTACGGATTGACCATCACTAATGGCTACAACACTATAAACGTTCTCACAGCATGATGTGTGAAAGGGAAATTCAGCATTTCACTCGCACCGAAAACGCTACGCATCATTGACACATATCCAACATGTATTAAAAGTTGTAAAATTTTCTCCAAAAATATTCTTTAATTTATACTTGAGTGGTTACTTGTTGTACACAGCCTGTCACAAATCGAACCACAAATCAATAGTTACGAAACTCGAAACATGTAATTCTAAATCAGTTACTGGGAAACAAGGATGGTTGAAATTACGACAGATTTATTGCAATTTATATTTAGATCTGTTCATGGAAAAACATCATGCTCCTCCAACAAGTATATTTGTTGACAGATTGTACTTGTTTGGTTAGTTGTCCACCTTCACTTGTACCAGTTACCATTTCTCAAAACAGAAAACTTAAATTTCATAACAACTAAGTGCCATTCTAAGAGCTATGTAGAAAGTCAATCCTGAATACAAGAGTCTCGTATTCAGGATTGACTTTCTGTAACTTCTTGACGATTTTGTTGAGGTTTATTAAAAGACCTTTAGTGTATTATATTCTATTTTTTCTTGAAGATAATTTTTGGCAACTAGAATGCTTGTCCTGGCGACCAAAAATGAAAACTTAGAGGCCAGGTGGCCCCAAGATTTTTATCTGAAAGTCGAGCCCTGCCTTTTCTTCTAAGCCATTTGCTTGCAGAAGTGAGCTATTTACCATTAACACCTCTATACTTTAAGATAGAACACTTGTGATCTGTGGGAAAGACTTGACACTTCTGCTTCAAATTCCCTACCCCACTCAGGCAAGGCTCAAATTCCCCAAGGGGGGGAGGGGTCCATTATTGTTAACAATGTTGTATACTTTCAATTACCTTTGTCTCCCCAGTCTGTGTTCCAGGAATTGGCCACAAGCCTAATGAACAAATAACAAGATGTTTAAAAGACCTGTTTCTGCTTTCAAGTTCTCATGAGGTAATTAAAGTCATAAGTGATAATTTATGGTTGAGTTTTGACTATTATGATTGAATGACTTGGAACTGTTCTTACATGGAAGTGTAATGACATGGAGGATTTAAGTAGAGCTACATGTAGACAATTGAGAACAGCTACACTGCACATAAGCCAGAGTATTTCTACATTATAATTGCAATCAAACAGAGTTGAAACTGCAGGGGTTTCAAAACCTGTGGTCATAAGTGGCTACTGATGATGCAAGAGGAAGCTGTGCTCAGAAAAGGGAGCGATAAGTGAAACACAAACACGAAAGCCTACTTGCAGGCTAAAAAAAATCAGGCAGGAGGAGGTCTTGTAGGCAGCAAAAGACTGCTGATAACCAAGTTTTAATGAAACCCCTGGAGCTGACAGTAAGCAATCCAGCGTCAAGATGACCTGAAACATTTATCTTCAGCTGCAGAACTTAACTGTGACAGTATACAGAGTAATGTCAAATGGCAGACAATGACTCTGACTCTGTTGCTACTATTCAGTGGAAAAAAAACCCTTTCAAAATAACTACAGTTCTTTTAACTTCACTAACATATTTCATTCAACTTGGAAAAACAGAAGAGAAGACATCAGATTCTGTGGTTTACAGGTGAAGGCCATCATTGTCACAATTAAGTCTTGTCTTATAGCAATCCTGACTTTTCAAAATGGTATTTGACTGAAAAAATCAGTAGTATACAATTACACTTACCAATAAGGTGTGTCATTCTCTGTACCCCAGCCTAGGATCTTAATGGCATGGCCACCAAGATGTACACCTGTTGTGTGTTGATAAACACCTACAGGATATAATACAATCACACACTGGGAATTAATTACAAGGACAAGTTAAAAACATAAAATCAATGAGACCTTGTAAAGTAAAACTGAAATGTTTATAATACAGATGAGGACTCACAATAATCACAATTACCATAATGAAAGTTCCAGTGATTATGCACTGATCATGATAACAAAAGTGATATGAACAATTGATATTGAGTGACAGTGTGCTGTCCAATCAATGGCACATTTTGAAAAAGAAAGAGTTCGTTTTCAGTCTACTTTTTAGAAAAAATGGTCCTCTTGGTCTTTCAGTACATAAATACATCATCTCCCTGAGCTAATGACTGAACAACAGTTCAGATTAATCTTATAGGTGAGTCAAAAGATTCATGAACACTGAAGAGAGAGGTGAAGCTTCACAGAGAATGAATATTAACAGCCTCCATGGGCTATAATAACCCCCAGCTGCAGCTACAAGCAAACCTGAATAAAGCCATTACCCCACCAATAAAGGTTGATCACAAAGTGCAGGTTCCAAAGAATAGGGGGTACAATAAAAAATAACTTTGGAAGAGAAAATAAAGAGTTCAATTTTACTTAAAAGATTATTCCTAGTTTTGTTGAAGTAGTTCTGCTCATAAAGGCTGTTTACATGCCGGATGATGTTTTATCATGGATCGGACAAAAAGAGTCATAAGGACCAAGCTAGCAAGGTTGCGTTTACACTGCAGTTTTTGGGGGACCGGACCAATTTCTTGCATGGGACTGAAGTATTTGGTACAGCCGTGTGCTGTTATCGAACTTGTGTAATTCTGGTAAACAAAATGGCGACGTGCGTGATGCTAAGTCACGGGTACGGGCCCGTGTTTTTTCTGGTTTTGGGGCCATAGACATTTAACTACAAATTATATTATGGATTGTTTTGGGCAAAAAATGTGACGTCCGTACTCCTTTTTTGACATGTCCGTACCCGATTTTTCTGCCGTGTAAACGGCCTTATAGTGACTGTTTTATACAGGTGCAGGATGATACAAGAAGGCCAATGGGACTCACTCCATGATGATTGTGACTGCTTAAAAGGGGTGACTGCTAAATAAAACTGCTAAGGGGAAACAAACTCATGACTTAGACAATGGACTGCTTAACACGGGGTGACCACTTAATTCCCTTACCGATAGAAAGATACATAAAGTATGTGCAACCAACTATTCGTCACATATATGTTACAGTACTGCACAATGTCTGTAATGGTTTTATTCATATCTGCAGCATATCTGCAATTATGTTTGCAGATATAATTCACAGATATGTAGGAACTTCTTTCAAAATCTGCAAAGTATCTGTGCAAATCGCATATATTTAACAGATGTAGCTAATAGAACAAAGAGTGAGTTAGAAATTGAGGACCCATCTTTTGACATCAGCTGGGACACTTCTAAGCAATAATGTTTATGATGTTCTTTTGCTCCTCTCTCCTTTCCCATATTGCCAAATGCTGCTGTGTGTCTGCCATTTTGCAGACCAATATTGAGAGGGACAGAGAAGGCAGTATGTCACAACAAAATGTGTCCGCCAGTGGAGGTCGTTCATCTCTTCGCTTACACAAGGCAGCTGCATGGGGGAGGTTTAACTACAAAATTATATCATTGCCTAAGAAAATGAGTCTGGAGAAATGCAATTTATCAACATTGTTGAGAGCACTCACCACTCTTGTAAGAAGGAAAGTCAGAATAAACTGTGAAAGCTCCCTCTACAGGGCCATTTGTCATGATTTCTTTTTGAATCTGTTCCACTGAACTGCCCACATAATAACTGCTCTTTCCATACCTCTTATCATCTTCATAACTAACATTATAACCTGTTAAATAAAATATCAAATAATCAGAAAAGCTCACCGGACAATTGATAACTGAGATAGAATTATGCTCAAGGAAACTGGATCAGTTCATCAGTACCCTCTCTTGGCAAAGTTAATACATCTGTGAGACACCTCATCAATAGTGTTCTTACACAAGTTTTAAGCAACATTGGTAAAATTTTTTTTAATAAGTGATCTTGCCTGGTTCGCATTTCTTTTCGCATCTAGGTGTAGGAACAATTGTTTTGCTACAAGGTTGCAGTTTTCCCACAACATGGTGGTCACAGGCTTTCACCAAGTATGGCTGACATCCTTTGTGGGAGTTGTACTGTCCTCCTGTAACTAAACCGCTTTCTACCCAGTATCTCCTGAAAAATAGGAATTTAAGTCATTATTTATTGCCTGGGGAGTGGGTTTTCATGGGAGAACAGAGGGGTAGGGGGGCAGTTGTCACTAACCAATATAAAAGGGAACTGTATAAAATTGACTGCAGATCATGGGGAATCATTGGAATACTCTCAAGCCTTAGGGGGAGGGGGGAGGGAAGAGGAGAGCGATACTAGAAGTCAGGCAAATGCTACTGTGCAACAACCAAAATTCATCCAACCATTTATCAGGTGATAAATAATGACCATTACTCTATTTTACTTGTCTACCAGTGATACTTGCATGAGCTAATTCAGGATAACGCTGATGTTCAAAACATATGTAGAGACTGCAGGAACTAGCCCCTCCAAAGAATACCTAAACAAACTTGCTCTTAAATCCATTTAATTTAATACAAGATAATCTTTTTTCTTAAAATTAAAATATATAAGGAAGAATGCTGGAAATGTAAGCTGATCAGCATTTATTAATAGTTTTACCTAAATAAAATATTCAAGCCAAAAGAGCTGAAATTGTAAGAAATTATAAGACCTTGAGACTTCCTGATAAAATTAACTGATAAAATTAACCAGTATCTACTATGAACAAAGTACCATGCAGATTCGGGAAATCCTCCATTGCATCTGAACTAAATGAATAAGAAAATTAATAATAATAATCATGACAAAATTAATTAGAATGACAGTTGCATTTTTTGCACAGAGACATGATTTCTATTCTTTTAATGTAAGGTTCTTTCAGGCCTCTTTACAGGGCCTCTGAAATTTGCAGAAAATAAAAGAAATTTCGTGGGATTTGAAGAGACAAATTCGTGGAGAAAACGGCCGATTTCGTGGGAATTTTCAGGGCAAATTTTCGTTGAAAAGCAAACATGAAAGCAAAAAAGAAAGGAATATGGCAAGTTTGATTCAAATCCTTCTGAAACAATTATATACAGTTGTGCAACTCGTGTGTTAATTGCCAAGAAATGAACTGCAAGTGTCTGACCACGAGGTGTTTCTTAATAGAGATCTTCATTTGCTATTTCAACAAAGATATGCTCCAGAAATGCACCAATGGCAAAGCTTTTCACATTGCGGCCAGTGCCCGGGTTTTTGTAACATAAATATAAGAACACCTGGTAGTCACTCGCAACCTCATCCCCAGGGCTCTCTCCACTTTCAAAATGGTGGGCGAAGAACACTCATGGTAGGACGAAATTTCAAGATAAATTTGCAGATTTTATGGTAAGTAAACAGCTCCAATAACCGAAATAAGTTTCAAATATGTTGTGCCGACATGTATTTGGTAGAATTTCTGGCGAATTTCGCGTGTTTTTGTCAATTTCATGGATTTACCTGAATTTCGCGGCTCCGCGACTGCGCGAAATTTCAGAAGCCCTGTCTTTACCCTTAAAGTCCCAGAAGTGACCAAAATGTGACTTCTCCCTAAAATATCTCTAATTGTAATCCAGAAAACAGGTATTGAAAAAATACTCAAACTTATAACATCATGCAAGTCCAAGTTGTTATCTTGATCAAACACCAAACTCTTACAACTCATTTATAAGGAAATAAGTAGCAGCTAGAGGAGAGAATTAGTAATCAGATCTAAGGAGTCAGTTGACTGGCCAAAAACTGACCATCAAAACTAAAATGGCAATCTCCTTATCAAAAGCAAATTTCCATGGCCATCCACCCCAGCCAACCTATTCCACCCATCCCATTCCACCCACCCCATTCCACAAGATCCACAGCAGGAAAGTAAGTCTTCAGCAGAAATATGAGGTGTCAGTTTTCCATTAGACATTATACAGATTCTGTCTGTCATAGCCTCAACAGCTCCAAATGCCTGTAAAAGAAAAAAAGAAAAAAATTGTCCTCTGCAAGATCAGCAACTCTTAAACACTTGAAACCCTGCTGAGTAAGTTAGAACCAGCTGTTTTAAGAATTATTTACCAAACAAAGTTGTAAAAGTAATATTAATCACAAGACTAAATTGGATTAGGTTTTGTGAGAAAACCTTTCCTTATCCAGGAAAATTTTACATCCTCAAACATAACTGTCGAGCTAAAAAAGGCAAACTGACCCAGCAACTTCCACAAGAACCTTGGTCACGGATTTCCTTTGTTGATGCACAGTTGGACCACTGTTCCCTGGAGTCAAACGAGGATGGTATCTCATTCTCCACTACTTCATATTCTGTATTCGCTATGGATGCAAACCACAAAGGCCATTTTAGAGACCGCAGTCATTTAATTTATTTCGAAAGGGGAAGGTCAGAAACTTTTGATAGTGTCATGCTAAAATTTTACCTGATCACCCCATACAAGGCTCTATGATATAATTATACTTTCATGATGCCCTTGCATTGGCAGTCACTTTTCTATTATGAGGATGGCAAGGGAGGGGTGGGGGTTTCTAACCAAACACATCATGCTGAATTTCTCTATTAAATCCCCCATCACAGATAATTTTTAACCAATCACGCATCGAGTAAAAAAGATTAAGTGCACCAAGCTAGCAGTGTACGATTTCATCTTATCTGGCATATTATTTAAAATTGAATGAATTGCATTTCACTTGTCATATTGCTTTTAGCTAGACAAATAAGAGAAGACTGACTTGTTGAAACTAAACACCTCAAGAGTGTTTTACTCAGGCTTGATACTGCAATATCTCCCATGGGTTAGGGGGAGAGGACAAATGACATTCAGACTACCTCCTTCAAGTAGGTCAAAGTGCATTCACTTATCATGGAAATAATAGATCACCTGCTTGTAAAATAGTAAATTACACATCAGGTTGTGATGTTCAGTCCACCGTTAGGCAGAAAATTTGGTTTCAATCATGCATCATGTAGCAAATTTTGCGGCCATCACACATAATGTAAAAACCCTTTGCCACCCTCTGTTATCCCCCACTCCTACTCTGTTGGCAATAATTGATCCCCCTCTATTGCCCCTGAAAACCATGTGATCCCCCACCAAAATCCTTCAGCACCCTTCCCTCATCATAAATTGATTGGTATTTTGTGCAGTATTTAGAACAGTGATTTTGGGGAGGGTTTTATTGCTTCTCCTTCTCCTTCCACTCTGGTTACTAGGCTAATTCCCCCTAAGGCACCCCCATAAACGAGGAAATATGGCTCTGATGCAGTGAAGTCGCATCCTACGTAATTTTATCCAGTTTTCGGGATTACGGATTTTCTGTGACCATGACGGTGCATTAGTACCACGGCAATTATAAATAGCAAACGTATATGAAGATTCGGCTTAAACATTTTAAGGTGGCGATATAAAATGTCGTTGTCGTTGTTTTTTTTTTCTTTATTGTTGTTGTTGTTGTAGTAATTAAGCTTTGAATCCTTTTGGAAATTTTCCGCATTAAAACACAGAGAACTCGATATTTCCCATCGAGCTTAATTTGCTACCTTCCTTAGGCATATACCCACCCTATAAACCTAATTGTTCCCATTGAGCTGGGTTATTTAACTAACAATAAGTCATATGTTCTAAGCAAACCATGAGAATCGAAAGCCGACATGCACAGTCAACCTTGGCTTAAATGTGTACAAAAAAGAACGCGATCACAAACGTTCTAGAATTATTTTAACCTTTTACGACTGTGTACGCGTACGTGTTGAATAACAAACCTGCCAAAATCCCCAGCTTTCTTGGCTTTGGTTGGATCTGGTCATCTAACGGGACGCCGCACAAACGCTTGAAGTGCTCAGCATCGTAGCCAGCGTAAAGTGGATCTGCTCTCCAAGTTGCGTACGTGTTGATGTAGTCAATCGCTTCTTTCGTGAGTGGTTGGTGAAAATATTTCGCCTGAGATGACGCGAGCAGCGCCACCAGAGTCACAAACAGAACGGCCATGGTTAGGGGAGACTCCAATTCCAGAGAAGATGATTTCTTTTGAGGCTAACAAAGCGCGAGCGTCCACATACAGTAAAGATTGCTGTAACATATATATATATTGGGTAAGTTAGGTCACAAGACTTGTGCGGAAGTCACAAGATCTGAGGAATTTGGGTCACGAGTTTTGGTTCTCGAATTTCACTTTTGCAGCCAATATTAGCTAAGTAAGATGCCTAGAAAACAAAACTTGCTAAATCATCGATCAACATGGTGTTAGCCTCGTACAGTTCCAATCTTTTTTAACTATGTTAAGAGCTCGCATATGAAAAGCAAAGATAGATGTTACTTGTTCTGTCAAAAGCTCTGTTCAAAGAACAAATTCTTGAATCGAAGCCTGGACCTTCGTATTCCACGCTAATTGATTAAAACAGTAATTGAAAGTGAATGGGTTACATGATAAACATCCGGCCAGAAAGCATATATTGTGATTAAGTAGGTTCGAAACGAACATGTTGTATTCTAAGCCCAGTCGAAAGATGAAGAAAATTACGATTACTTTTATTTTCTTCTTTTTAACAGGTGTGGAACAAAATATATATGTATGATGCACGATCCTCGCAGTAGATAGCGCTATTTAAGCAATAGTGACATTTAGCACCAGGGTTTTCAGCGGAAACCTCGAACGGCAAACCGGTGGAGGTCAAGTGAACAAGCCCTGCGGTCACGTTCGGAGTTTTCAACGCGCGTTTTCAACGGCAAGAGGTAGGTTTTCACGTTAGTGATTTACCTGAACGTTTTTTTATCCTGATTTTGTTTTTATGCCACGTATAAATCCGAAATTTATGTAAACCAGTCTTTTTAGGACAAGTTTAGACATATTTTTTAGTGAATGAGTGAAAATAGGACTTCTTGTTGCCTCTTCAATTTCATGTTTTGGCAAGAGTACCATATAACCCCATACGTTAATTATGCATTCAGTCTTTGTTCAATTAAAACAATAGCGATAACAATAGAACTCCGCAGAGACTAGTAGTCTTTGTTTTGAAAATTTGGATTTTTTTTCTAAGTCTTTTTTGAAACAGGGTAAATTTGGCGCGTTTTGGCTTTGCAAAACAGAAAACTCAAGTAATTTTCCAGAGGTTTTTAATTTTGAAATATAACTGAATGTTCAGTTTCGCTTTGAAAGCGTAAAATTGGCCGGAAAATAACGTTAAGTCTACGGTCAGGCTTTGAAGTTTGTCAATGCAAAGTTTAAATAAATGTTGTGTCTTACCTGTTCTTGTG